CCTTGTTTTGTTAAAGTACTTTGAGTTGCCTTGTTTATGAACTGTGCTATACAATTAAGCTTGCTTTGCCTTATTTATCTAATTAGAAATATTTACTTTTACACTTCAAGTTTGAGTGACGTGATTCATTCCAGTTACTGTGCACCTTTTGGTTTCAGTACTTCACACAGACCCCATTATAACCCCTGCAGTGAACTGGCTTCATCATATGTCTGGGGGGGAAACAATCAGACATGCACCTTTGAGAAATACAATTCAAAGAGTATCCCTTTATTAAATATTAAAGACACACACGTGGTTAGCGGCTTTTGAAAGGGGGAAAATCATCTTTAAAACAGACAAGAGCCCAACACCTTTGCACTACAGTGAGCCGCGGTTACATCACCGTTGAGTCAGTCATTCTCCGAACCAAAAACAAACACTGAAAATGATGAATGGAAACGAGGTCCTGGGATGATCAAACGATGGAGGGGCTCACAGCAAATTATCCTCCACGATTCAAACGCTTCGCTCCACTTTGAAAATGAACTGGCCCCGGATAAGCCATTTTACAGAGGTCATACAAGATGGGTGAAACGGAAACGCCCAAAATGATTCAATTGACCTGCAAATGGAAGCATGTATTTTACTCAACTAAGAAAGTTTGCCTCCTGGAATGTGGTCAAAACATGGTTGATTTTGAACAACAATGGAAACGTTATACTGTATCCATCTTCTTGAAAATAGTATACTAATACAATGATAACATGTGTAACCAACCACACTACAGGATTCCCACTATTCTCGATCTACCAGAACTCCCAGAGCCGTCGTCTTGACTGCTCCCATTCTGAGAAAAACTCATTTTCATCCCCTTGATCCATTTCTGGGTTCACTGATCCTCCTCCAGGTGGTGAGTCCACAGGAGGACGGCTGCTCTGTCAGTGACGGCATAGGCTTGATCTTTCAGCAGGGGCTTCAGGCAAAGTGGGGTTGAATGTCTTACCCAAGGACACAGCAGATAACAGTGGGAACAGATGGAGAAGGTCTCGGGGAGGGATCAGACCCACGACCTCCAGGCCCAAAGGCCAATGCTCTACCAACTGACACCACTGTCGTCCCCAGGAGAAACAGTACTAAAACATTTTTGATTCACCACCAGTTTTAATTTATTATATTTTTACCTTTAGTCAAGCACTAAAACAGATTAATATAACTGAAATACAGCCAAAAACTGCTGATAGTAGACAGTGTGTTGCTATGGTAACCAGCACTCGCTCTTCTCCGGTGGAAAACCAATCTCAGCCAGGAACCAGAACGGGACCAGGATCTTGGAGAAGATGGGCTTTAACTGCCACAGAAAGAAAGCAACCCAAAATACGTACATTTCAATTTTAGTAAACGGTAGAACTAATCACTTTTCAAGAGCGGTGAAACATGAATTGTTGAACCCAAAATTGTGAGTGTGACACAAACGGTTAGAGAGCTAGAAGAGATCATTTTTCAATGTAAGTCAATTGGAGTTGGATCCAAACTGTGTCCATGTGCAGCACTTCCTCCAGGGCTTAATCGAGCTAGCGGGTTAGCATCGTCCATCTACAGTATATATACAGTCTCTGGATGCATCGTGCTCAGATAAATAGCAAAGTCGGACTTACTTATTGATTATCAGTTTAGGAGTCTTTTTATACACTTGCTTGAAACTCTCTGCCGTATCTTTTGAGTTGCACATTTCCAGAGATAAAGTGTAGCTGACTTTTAATCGTGAAAAAAGAAATTAATAAACACATCATTCAAATATCATCAATATCATCATATCAATATCATAACTGCAGTAACACTCCAATGACATTTCTTGTATCAAATTAAGGTAGAATAAATACAATAAAAAACACTGTCCAATCAACACAGATAGCAAATTGTGTAAAATATTTGAATTTCTTTTGTTGACTAGAAACTTCTCTAGTTTTCTAGCGGTAAGACGGCACAGACACAGGTGCATTGTCCAGTCAGCAGGATTCTCTTTTCTCCCGCTGAGGAAACTTGAAGCTCAAGAGTGGAGACATCAATACTGGGACAAGGTGAGCGCTGGATACAGAGGGTGTGTGTGTTTATATGAGTTAGTGTGTGTGTGTGTGTGTGTGTGTTTGTGTGACAGAGGAGGGAGGGCTGCATCCAAAGTAATAAACAAATACATCCTTCCTTACACATCCTTATTCTTTTCCTTAACCTTGAGCACTACACGGTCTAACAAGGTCTTACAGGTGAATTCATAATGAGGTCCTCTTGTTATATATAGAGATCCTATGTATTTGTTTGAAATGTGCACATTGAAAAATGTGTTTTTACTGGTCATAAATCTGAAATCCTTTTGATCGCTCGCTTGTCTGGAAAGTAAATGGATGCAAAACAACATTTGGATGCATAGTGAGGGTAGGGATATCAAAAGGGTAGGCAAAATCAGATATTGACCGACATTAAAAATTGTATCGAGACTACATTTCAGAAAGTCTTGGTATTGGGGAAAAAAACACATGCTCCCATTCTCTGAGCAGTTTTTGAATTAATTTGATCTCAGAAAATGGTTTGACACCAATGCAAAGTACGTTACTAAAAAGTTGTATTATAATTCATGTTAAAAAACAAATAAATAATAATAATCAACTAGAAACTTGCAATGGCTGAAGCCATTGCGATTGACTGCGGAACAGATCTAATGTGGAAATCTGCTAAAAAAAATCCTTGAAATCCTTTAAAAGGCCTTGAAACTGTTAAAATACTTGATAGATATTTGAAACTCCTGAAGTCCTTGAAATTGTTGAAACCTTTAAACTCCTGAAATCCTTGAAACTGTTGAAACATTGAAACTCCTGAAATCCTTGAAACTTTTTTTAAACCTGGAAACTGTTGAAAGTGTGGAAACTCCTGAAATCCTTGAACCTCCTGATATCCTTGAAACTGGTTAAATTCTTAAACAGTTGAAATCCTTGAAACTACTGAATGTATTGAAAGTGTCCTTGAAACTGAAAAATCCCCTCACCGCTGAAACAATTTGGTTCCTGTAACTAAGGAAACCTGGTCTGTGGTCATTATCTGGTGGTGGTCTGAGTCTTCGTTTGGGTCTTGGTCTGGTGGTATAATGCAACCTATTAGGTTGCATTATACTGGTTTACATGGAAAAATCCCTATTAGGTTGCATTATACTGGTTTACATGGAAAAATCCCTATTAGGTTGCATTATACTGGTTTACATGGAAAAATCCCTATTAAGTTGCATTATACTGGTTTACATGGAAAAATCTCTATTAAGTTGCATTATACTGGTTTACATGGAAAAATCCCTATTAGGTTGCATTATACTGGTTTACATGTACAAATCCCTATTAAGTTGCTTTATACTGGTTTACATGTAAAAACCCCTATTAGGTTACATTATAGTGGTTTACATGTAAAAATCCTTATTAAGTTGCATTATACTGGTTTACATGTAAAAACCCCTATTAAGTTCCATTATACTGGTTTACATGTAAAAACCCCTATTAAGTTCCATTATACTGGTTTACATGTAAAAACCCTATTAAGTTGCATTATACTGGTTTACATGGAAAAATCCCTATTAAGTTGCATAATACTGGTTTACATGGAAAAATCCCCATTAAGTTGCATTATACTGGTTTACATGAAAAAAACCCTATTAAGTTGCATTATACTGGTTTACAAGGAAAAATCCCTATTAAGTTGCATTATACTGGTTTACATGGAAAAATCCCTATTAAGTTGCATAATACTGGTTTACATGGAAAAATCCCCATTAAGTTGCATTATACTGGTTTACATGTAAAAAACCCTATTAAGTTGCATTATACTGGTTTACATGGAAAAATCCCTATTAAGTTGCATTGTACTGGTTTACATGGAAAAAACCCTATTAAGTTGCATTATACTGGTTTACATGGAAAAAACCCTATTAAGTTGCATTATACTGGTTTACATGGAAAAAACCCTATTAAGTTGCATTATACTGGTTTACATGTAAAAACCCCTATTAAGTTGCATTATACTGGTTTACATGGAAAAATCCCCATTAAGTTGCATTATACTGGTTTACATGAAAAAAAACCCTATTAAGTTGCATTATACTGGTTTACATGAAAAAACCCTATTAAGTTGCATTATACTGGTTTACATGGAAAAATCCCTATTAAGTTGCATTATACTGGTTTACATGGAAAAATCCCTATTAGGTTGCATGATTACACTGAAGTCCTTGAAACTGCTGAAGTCCTTGAAACTGCTGAAGTCCTTGAAACTGCTGAAGTCCTTGAAACTGCTGAAGTCCTTGAAACTGTTGAAGTCCTTGAAACTCTTGAAATCTTGAAACTGCTGAAATCCTTGAAACTGTTGAATCCTTGAAACTGTTGAATCATTGAAACTGTAGAAATGTCTGAAAGAGCTGAAGTCCTATTAAAATGCATGGGCCTATTAAAATGCATTGCAGAATTCTCAATGCAGATTTTGTCCGATTGCGGAAAAACCGGAAATCGCTGAAGTCCCAAAAGTAATAGCAATAATCTCCCAAACATGTGGAACGTTTTGATGTATAACTTGTGGAAATTGTTGAAAATGTGAAAGCTGTGAAACGTGTCAAAAAAAATGACGGAATAAAGAAATACAAAACCAATGGTTGACTGCGGAAGGTTCCGCAGTCAATCAATTAAATAAAACATGTGATTCTTGCTGTGGTATCAAAACTTGTACAGAGAATAGAGTTTTTTATTTCAGTAATTTAGTATAGTGTTAGTCAATAAAGTATAGTACATAGAATTTATGACCACACCATAATAAAAAAACAAAGAAGGTATTTTCTTTATGATTTGGATGCAGCCCGGGTTAGAAATGTGCTGCTGTGATTGGAGAGGCCACCGTTTCAAAGTCTTTCTGAGGCCAGTGCAAGATTTCCGTTGTCAACTCGAGTTCTGTTTTCTTTGTCAAAAATAAAGAGAGCAGAGAGATGGAAAACGTCAGTCCTCCTCTTCTACGTAGGTGGAGGGAAACCAGCCCACCTGAAAGAAAGCAGTTCACACAGATTACATTAAATACAAGATTCTATGGCGATCTCAGTGCTTTGGCTGTTCACAGTATGGATGTCTCTGCATGAACATTTACAGGTTATTTCTGTGAAAGTGCAAGAAATAAGAATATACAACAAAAGGTATGTTGGGATTTGACAGATTTATACTCCCTCCATCCATTTTCTTCCCCTTGATTCATTTCTGGGTTGGGGGGGTGGCAGTCAGGGCTGCACCCAGTACCAGCCCCTCACTGCTCCTCCTGCAGGTGGTGAGTCCACAGGAGCTTTGATCTTTCAGTGGGGGCTTCAGACAAAGCGGGAAGTGTCTTGCCCAAGGACACAACAACAGGAGTCATCAGTGGGAGTCGTGAAGAAGGTCTTGTGGTGGGTTCAATGTTCTACCAACTGAGCCACTGTCACCCCTATTCCATACTTTTGAACTAAAATGAAGAATAAAAAAAAAGTGCAGCTTGAGTCCAGACAAGAATCAGAAAGTATCACATTGGTCTAGTCCTCAGGTCTCTGCTCTGGCTTTCTGAGGCTCAGAGAACATACGTCTCTATACAAGTCTTTCCATGGCCTCGCACCAAAGTATATCTTATAGTGCCATCTGAACCAATTCAGACTCTGAGGAGCACAGGGACAGGCCTCCTGCAGGTTCCCAGAAGTAAGGACTAAATGTGGGGAGGCAAAATTTCAGATATATAGAGCTACAATCTGGAACAGTTTGCCAGAAAATGTGAGACGACTCATTGTCTATACTCTGACAATGTTCAAATCCAGGTCAATAACAGTTCTGCGTGTGTATAGTGTGTAGCTCACATACGCACCCGCCCGTTCACCTCTCCCTTCCACCAGCCATTCGACATTTTGCTGAATACTTTGATATTGTCTCCTTGAAGCAGAGACAGCTCTCGTGTGTCTCTGGAGCTGAAGTCGTACCGGGCCACAGCGACGCCCACTACACGTGGACAAAACACTGAAAAACACCAGGATGTCAATCAAACTCGACATTTTTATCAATTTACCACAGCGCAAACGTATTCCACACATCCTCATGCGCATTATCCAGTACGCAGTATAATTTTAAGTCATAGGGTGTCAAAGGGTAAATTAAAGCTAGGGTACCTCATTTTTAAAGTAGAAATAGCTGTCAAAACAGTTAAGTGCCACTACAATCCACATGTGTGTTTTTTTTTCAAACCTCTGTCACATCCTCAGATCAGCTAATTCAGGAAAAAAAAATCTAAATCCCCTAGCGTCAAATACTTACCCACACAGAACTTTCTAGTTTCTGTCAGGTGTCAAGTATGCAAACGCTAAAATGTTTTCTAATAAGATGAAGACAGCCGGATGTGGTCTAATTCGTCACCCCAAGTGAGTCACCCCAGCCCCAGTTAAAGCCCAAGACTTTTACGTAAATTCCTTGCAGAGGCAGGAGAGTCTAAGGACAGTGATGATCCAGAACACTCCACATTCAAAAACATTTATGGACATTTATCAACATGTATGGACAATTATCAACATTTATGGACGTTTATCAACATGTATGGATATTTATCAACATTTATGGACATTGTTCATCTGCCTCTTATGGACCAATGGCTCTATGTGTTTTTTTTAATCATTGCATTACTTGTGTTAGAACTGTTTGATTCTCTGATCTGTGTTGCCGGTTTTGTAAAGTCCTCCGAGTTAACTACTGTTGTGATTTAGGGCTATACAAGAAGAAAAATAATTGAAATTGAATTGAATAGAAGAGAAGACAAACACAAGGACATTCGAGACAGTTCAGCGGAAAACTAAAAGTACTTGAGTTGAGTTCAATGAACAGATTTTTCAGCAACTTGTCGTCTTTTGGGACATTTAAAAACAAAAAAGGTACTAACAATACTTTCAGATCTCACACAAATGTCAGTGTAGGTTCAAGTGCAAATTATGTTTTTGACTCTATTTTTTATATATTACCTACAGTGAATTAATTATCCCTGCCTTAGCATAAAGGTTTCATAATAACTTTGGTATGCATTTTCAACTGCCAACTGTGGATTGCACTCTCGCCTCTCAGCAAGAAGGTCCTGGGTTCGAATCCCGGTCGGACCAGGGCCTTTCTGAGTGGAGTTTGCATGTTCTCCCCGTGTCTGCGTAGGTTTCCTCCGGGTACCCCGGTTTCCCCTACCACAAAAAATATGTACAATAGGTCTGCCATGCGCCTCCTGTACCGGCGACCCCGCTCCCATCTCTGTGTGGAGTGAGAGACAAATGCCCAAAAATAATAACAATTGTAAACCGCTTTGAGACTCAGATCTGCAGTGAAAAGGCGGTATATAAATAAAGATTACTTACTACTTACTTACTACTTACTACTACTAAAACTGTAAATTACATTATATCAGCATTAAGTCTTCCAACTGCCCTCCACCACAATTTTAAATTATAGACTATTTGTGCTGTGATGTCACATTAATCTATAGAGGAGGGGGCTCATCATTGTGTCCATTCAGAAAGGAGGAAGTGACTAACTACAATTCAACACTGCTTCTTGGTAATATCTTGTAATATTGTAATAGGTTGCTTTCATGTGACATCACACATCATTATAGTGATAGAGTGCAACTGATCTTCCTGGTAACTGTCAAAAGTCTTAGTTTAAAGCTTTAATATCTGTAATTCCTGGACCAATCCACTTGAAATAAAGTTACACATCTTCTTTGTCAGCACATGTTAACTATGGTTCAGTTATTTCTTCATAAAGTAGTCTAGAAGTAGTGAGAAAAAAATGATGTTGGCCAGTAGAAAGGACTTTCAGAGATAAGAATGCTACTGAACTGGAATTCTACAACAAGAATTCAAAGTGATAGTGGCAGTGGCCTATTCAATAATATCTTTTATTAGAACAGCCTCACAACACATTTTGAGAGCAAATTTTCTTGAATTTCTCCTACGGGGGTTCAATAAAAAATCTATCTATCCACATTTCAATATATATCCACATGTATTTTTGTGTGTGGTTTTTTTCTTCATGCCTTATTTTTCCCAGAACCCTTGCAAACAGAGAAGCAGACAGTGAGCGTACCTGACCAAAATGGCGACGTCGCTGGAGGAACGAAGCTGCAGAAGCCTGGGGGAGCTGCAGACAGAGCCCACACACCAGCAACCGTAAACACAAGTTTGACACGGGGGAAGAGAGAGAGAGAGAGAGAAGTTTTCAAAGTCAAAAGACGAGCCACAAAAAGCAAGGACAGGTGAGGGAGGAGGGCAGCAAACGCACATACGGCACACAGGCACACAATTTGTCATCCCCCCCTCGCTCTGTGGTGGCGTGATTTTGGGAGGATATATTTTTAAACTTAAATAAATAAGAGTTGCAGCAGTCATTAGTATGTAGGTGCAAGTTGGAGTACCTTAGTTTGAAATGACAAAAAGGAACTTTGTAATCATATCCATCGCTCTCACAAGTGTTGGCGTCTATCACTAGTGTTCGCATGTGTGTATTTTTGGCCTCTGTCACATTTTTAGAACAGCTTTTTCAAACAGAAAAGTGTAAACAAAAACAAAAAAAGGACCACCCTCACTCAGCCAATCAGCTCGCAGTCCTAAGAGGCATTTAGTGTCTCACAGGGGTGTTCCTTATTCATATGCATATTCAATTTTTATTTATGAAAAAAAAAAAAACATCATATTGTTTCCCTCAAATTTGTCCCAGAGTTTTGTAGTAAACTGTTTACCAACCAATAATTGAAATGTGTCTTTGTTTTGTTTTTTGAGATGCCTTGTGTGGGAATTGTGCTATACAAATAAACTTATCTTGCGATGACCATGTTGTAAGATAGATTTATGGAGCAACAATAGGTGTTTTTCCAGGTTATTTCCCTTATAATAGCATAATAACAGCACATATGATGGACTTTTGAAGGAGGGAAGGATGCTTTGGTCTGATATGTAGTTATAATCTAAGTTTAAATCCAATTTACTTACTATTGACAACATGAAGCCCAGATTACATAAAAATGAATAATGTTCTTTCAAACGCTCATCATGGCCATCAATGTCCCAAGCCTCAGATGCTGTCCCAATTTTAAAATAAACGAGATAGTAGAAGCGAAAACCCTAGTGTTATGTCAATTAACACAGGTGTCAGTTACTGTGAACATAGTGAAGCTGGCTTGATCCGCCCATTATTTCCGATTGGTCGCATTTAATTTAAATCCTTGAGGCCCATTGGTACAACAATAGTTAATATTGTTCTCCAAGAAATCTTACTGATTGAAGTAACACCAATTGAAAGAGCTGTTTAAAATACTTTATTGTTGAAAACCACAGAGTACATGCTAGTACAGTGTCAACAAAATACAATTCAAGTTGGTGACATCACGTTTAAAATTACAGTCAAAATCTACTACTGCCAAGCGACCCAATATTTCTGGTCAGTTCAGTGCATTATTTCTGATCTTTCTAACAGCTGCAGGAGCAAACACAGTGGTGAGAGGTTAAACAACAGACTCGGCGATCTGGTCCTGTTATTTGGCGCGCCGACTTCCATATGAAAAACCATCTGAAGACCAGGACCCTGCAGAGAGCCCAGCGCCTCCTGTCACCAGCGCAATATGGCCGCTCCACCCCCCATGGAGATAAAGAGCTAAAACCAACACATGTCAGCCCGCAATATGGCAGCGGTGCCCATACACAACTAAACACAGAGAATGTGAGTGGGTAACCTTTTAGCAAAAATAAAGCAAAATTAGAGCCGCAAGCAGCGTTGAACGGCACGAGCCCCATTCATTTGACAAAGTCCACAGCAGCTAAACTAAAGTGGTCCAAAATAATATACCCTCCCCAGCATTGACACACATCTCGAACGTAGCTTTGGGATATAGAATTGTAAATAATCATTTCGTAAAAGAGTGAAGATATAATCCTCCCGTTGTATGCAGAGCTAAACCTGGATTTGAACATTGTAGAAGCCTGTCTCACATTTTCACAAAGACTGTTCCAGATTTTTGCAGCAAAAATCAGAAATGCTGCCTCCCCGTGTTTAGTCTTGACTCTGGGCACCAACTCGGTGCTCTTCAAAGTCCCAGCATGAGACCAGTCCCGGAGCTCCTCAGAGTCCGAGTGTGATCATGTGGCTCTAACATGTCACAGATAAACTTTGGTGCGAGGTCATGGAGAGACTTGTACACAATCAGAGCTGTTTTAAAGTCTCTTCTTTGAGCCACAAGAAGCCAATGCAGGGACCTGAAAACTAGACTAATGTCATCATACTTCCCGGTTCTAGTCAGAACTCGAGCTGCAGCTTTTTGAATTTACTGCAGATGTTTTACAGCTTGTTTGGTGAGCCCAGTGAGTAGGTCGTTACTGTAGTCTAATCTAGACAACAACTGTAAGGTCCTGTGTAGACGGAGACTACTGTAAAACGGTAGAGTTGGGTATCGGTTTGGCCTCCTGTTTACATCGAGAGGTGTTTCAGGGGGGTGAAAACGGTGTGAATTCTCTACCTGCTATGACCTCCTCACTTCCGTACATTTGGACATGCGCACTAGCCGAGAACAAACATAGACAACAATGGGGGGTGAACTATTGCTACGTGTGCTTCATGTGCTCCACGGAGAATAGTTCTACATCTTTGTTCGTCCAAACAAAACCACACAAAGCTCTAGTTTCAGTTTCCTTTTTCACAGCTGCTGTTAAAAGAACTATACCTGATTTATTTTCTAATGAGAAAATAAAAATGCATATCACTACGTACAAGTTGTATTAAAATCCGTAATTTAATTGAAAACTTGAGCTCATTGACTTGCGTATGAATTCAGGCTATAAAAAAGTGCTGAGTAGAGATGACGCTCGTTCTCCTCAATGCACAACGAGGAGCGGTGCTGTTACGAACAGGCTGCCTTCTCTGGAGTCTACAGCGCAGGTAAACACAGCAGCATGGAGGCAGAAAGTGGCAATAACTCCATCTGGCTGTAACTACAGACACAGCAACACAGCCCAAACAACGCAACAGTGAGGAGGAGAAGAGGGAACTAAAGCGAAAACATGATCAAAGAAGACATCAAGCCCAGGTGAATATAGCTTACATCGTATCCTCGCTGGAGAGACCTGCTGGAGTGGGACCGTGGACGTGAAATTGGTGGTAATCTTTCAGTTATTGTACTGTATATTTTCTTAGTAGTGCGTTGCTTTTGTACCATTTCATCAGTGATTGTTGTACAGCAAGTTGTGGGGCCATGCTAAACATTCAAACTCCTTTAAATGCAGAATTATGTTGGTGCGTTCTTTCACGTCTTTGCAGTGGCTATGAGGAACCACTTCCTTGTTGTTGAGGAAGTAGTTCACTGCTAGGGGTCAAACGTGTCTTCTTATAAATTTTCACATCCCACTTCTGGCCGGGCGCCACAACATTGTTTTCCGTAGCCATTTAAACGCTGTGCAGGAGCCTGGTCATTTATGATAATTGCTTTGCAGTGTCTCGACAGCGTCTCCGTCTAAACGGGTCCTAGATGCATGGAACAGAATCTCCAAGTCTGCTTCAGATACACACAAAGTGTGATGTATCAAGCTCTGGGCCAATTATCATGTTGATCTTTGGATCACAACTTGTAATAAAAATATCTTAGAAAATTGGCATGTAATATGTCAATATCATATATTGATTTCACATTTAAAGTTGAATGACAGAACGATTCCTTTTGAACAAAAGTCTAATTGTCCGAGTTTCACCTTACATAGCAAGGCCACAGTTCCAATACAACTTTAGTTTCTGGTAAAAGCCTTCGTGATTTCAAAGTGTTCATCAAATGTTCTGTTTGTCTGACAGCTGTACACGCGGAGCCCAGAGCCTTCAGATCTGAGAAGTCCAGGAACAACTCGACCTCTCGCCTGTCAATCCAACCTCACCAACACAACAAACTGAGCAACACAGACCCCTTTAGGTCTGAGGGACAAATAAATACATGAAAGAGAAAATGTAATGTCTGCAAGCACTACATACATTTTAATTGTAAAAGTAGAATACCAGCTAAACTGTTATGATTGTGAATTCCTGAGATATTAAAGTATTGTCAGACAAACAACAAGTCTGATAGCACAGACTGACCCTCCTGTGCTTCACAAAAAACTTTTTGCTGAACACATAGTAATAAATGCCAATTTGATGTCACACCTGCACTAACAGCAGGAGAGAGGCCACTAAACCAAGGTATCGGTAACATTACCAGACGCAGACCACTAATAATATGACCATGATCCTTATAATACACAAGTCTCTGAACAACAGTAGATATAACCTAATGTACTGTTTTCAGATGCTTTTCATAAAAAACATTGTTGCTGAACACCATTTCTCTTGTGGAACAAACAAAAATGCAGGGCGATTGAAAATGTTTGTTTTTCTTAAGTTGCTGGAGAAAAATCTTTGTATCAATAACGTTCCATGATTCTGAATCAGCCGATATCCCGGATTTGTCATGTTGATCTGTTTTGACAACATAAAAATAATTTTCTTTCCATACATTCACTCATGCATTATTGAAGATAGGCCACTAAACCTAAGTAACCACTAATACATATGCTCATGCACTGTTTTCCAACATTTAAAGATAATATAATGCAGAATTTGTTTTTCACCTTCAAAATGTCTCAATGTTCATATCTCAAACGTGGTACACTATGACAAACATTTTGTCTCTTGTGACAATTTCTCAGGTTCAAAGACGTTCTTCAACTGCATGGCTGTATTTGATATGTAAATAAGGCAACAACAAAAAATCTCCCCCTGGTGGGAGCATAGCTACTTACAGGCCAATATCTTTTCCATCATTCAAACATTTTTGACTAATTATTTAACACTCTAAAACCTGCCAAAGTAAATAGCCTCATTATCATGTTTAAGGGCCAAACATAATGCATAATACCTATTCTTTAAAGATGCTAATGCGCTCTGGATTCACTGGAAATGTTAAACTCACACATCATGCATCTTGCCTGAGGGCACAACAGCGCCAAAAACAAGCCTGAACTCATAACTCTCACCACTGGGTATAATTCATCCAAGAGATATGCACCACGACAACCGTATACACAAACTCCCTTTTAAATGCACTGATATTTGCTGGCCTTCCTTTTCAC